CTCAGTGTGCCCCCCACACTCCCACCTACCATGCTTCTGCCTCACTCAGCTCTACCTCCTTGCTTGGAGCTGATTGAGAGAGACCTTGCCAATGAAATGAACCTTGGAATCCCTCCATTGTTCCCCACCTCATCTAGCTCCTGTGCACACAGGATCATACTCAATAGGCACACCCACTTGGCCGAGTCAGAAATTTCTGCATGAGCTTCCAGCACACAAGCCAGGACTCCTTGTCTGGGCACGCATCATGGAGAATTCAGCATCGGTGACCCCAACACCAGAGTCTCTCAACCTCCAGAAGGCTATCAGCCCAAGGACTTGAGCCTGGGAGGCCTCAGTTGCAGAGGCCCAGCCCTCCTCTGGTGAGTCTTGTGGGTTTGGTAGCAGTGGAGAAGTGCAGAATTTGGAAACCTCTGGCTCTGTCGGTTCTGTGGACCCAAGCTTGGTCCCAGGGTTTCCTGCTTTGCCCAGACAGTTCTCATATAAGAAACTGGGTATGATCCTAGCAGCTTGGGAGGCTGCGGCAGAAGGATCCTGAGTTCAAAGCCAGCTTCAGCAACCCAGTGAGACCCTAACCAAAGCATGTCTCTAAATAAAACACAAAAAGGGGCTGGGGATGTGGCTCAGTGGTTAAGTGCCCCAGAGTTTAATCCCTGGTACCAAAAACAACAACAACAAAGCAGAAAGAAAGAAAAAGAGAGAAGAAAAAAAAAAGAAACTTGGTGTGGTCAAGAGTGGCTTTACGCAATTTGGTCCCCTGTGTGGGTTTCATGTGGTGTGGGTGATCTGCAGCAGTGCCCCAAACACCAGCTCCACAAGTAGACTTTTGGCAGAATTGAGCCTTTCAATTGGATCCTGTTCAGCCACATGGCTCCTCCACAGCCTGGTTGTGGGTGGAGCCCTGCCAGTGTCCAACCCAGAGCCACAGTGACAGCTGGGGCCAAAATTGGGCAGCAGGGAAGACAGGCCCAGAGAGGGGGTGGAGCTGCAGGTCAGAGCAGGTGCAATTTGCTGCCCACAGAGGGAGATGCTGCCTCACTTGAGACCCAGCCAGGCCCTTTCCATTTCCCAGGGAGGGCAAGGGAGCTGGATTTGGTGTTCTCTTTCAGGAGACCAGGAACCTGCTGTGCATCCCCTGGTTCCCAAAAGGCGGCAGCAGCCACCTGGAGCACAGGGTTGTTTCCTGGTACTTCTTTCTCTAGCCCCTAGAAATGCCCACCAAGCTAGAGGGTGGGCTCCCTGCCCCGGAAGAGCTGACTTAGGAGCCCTCTTGCAAAATGCATCATAGGGATGAGAGGGTGGAGGGAGGCCTCCTCCTTTCCTCTATGGATTGCAGGTTGTGCTGCAGCTGGGCTTTTGGATATGAGGAATGTGAGAGGTGGGGGTGAGCAGGAGGATGAGGAGAGAGGAGACCAGAATCCCATTCTCATTTCTTTTTGGTGTCTGCTGGCTTCCTGTGTGGCGCCACAGAAAGAAAGAAGAGACCTCAAAGAGCAGCTAGGCATGAAGACTCCCAGGTGGGCCAGGGGCGTGACAGAGGGAGACCTTGGTGTCTCTGAGTGGATGAGCCTGTGGTAGGCTGGGCCTGCAGATACAGGCAGCACCACAAACATGGACTTTCTTGCAGCTGGCCTGGGAGTCCTCTGGGTGTTGACTGCTGAGGCTGTGTACAAAGAGCCGTGCATCAGGTGAACTCCATGTACTCTACCATTGAGTCCCAGATGACTCCTTTACTCAAGACCTTTGCTTTTCCTTTAAGGGTCGGTTTCTGTGTTTTCTTTGATTTTTTACTTACTTGTTGGATTGAACTCGTTTCTGTGTGTTTCCACCATGCCCCAGTTTTTGAGCACTATCGGTACAGGTTTTTCTCTTACAGAAACCATGTGAATGGGAGAGTCATTCCCAGGGCTGCTTGGGTGGGGCCTGGAGGGAAGTCAGGTTCCCAGGCTGGCGGATCCCTACCTGGAAGTGTGAAAGTGAGGTCAGGGGACAGTGCCCTGTGGTCCATATTTTAAAAGTACTCAAGCCTACAAGGGTGGGGGCCATGAAAATTGCCAAAAGCAAGGGCTGTCAGTACTTGTACAGACAAGAGTTTGCTGGGTCTCCCTCTGTCACCTTTACTCCTGCCATGGGACACTCCGCCGACCCCAGCTGTGGAACCAGCAGGCAGGTGGTGGGATGTTTCAATTCTCCTGCTATACTGCTGTCCCATTTTACAAGTTTTTAATTTCTCTACTGTTGAATTCCAGTGTCCTCCCATGGTCACTTACCTCAACATGCCCCTGTTCACCTGTTGCCTTGGTTCTTTGTGGAGGAGCAGGTGAGTGCTAGGTACCTCTATTCAGCCATCTTGCCTGCCTCGGTAGCATTTTCTTTTCTTTTCTTTTTTAGTGCCAGGGATTGAACCCAGGGCTGCTTTATCACTGAGCTACACCTCAAGCCCTTTTAACTTTTTATTTTGAGACAGGGTCTCCCTAAGTTGCTTAGGGCCTTGCTGAATTGCTGAGGCTGGCTTTGAACTTGTGATTCTCCTGCCTCAGCCTCCCAAGCCACTGGAATTACAGGTGCCTGACCTCAGAAGCATTATTCTATACTAATTACAGATTTGTTGAGAAAGAAATCATGGAAGCATTTGAATTGCATATTGAAGAAGACACAAAAAGTTGGAAGACCTCCCATGTTCCTGCATTGGAAGAAATAATATTGTCAAAATGGTCATAGTAAGCCACAAACAGTGAGGCACACCTGTAGGTATTCAGAAGGCTGAGGCAGGAGGGAAGTGAATTTGAGGCCAGCCTGGGCAATATAGAGAGGCTGTGTGGAAGGAAGGAAGGAAGGAAGGAAGGAAGGAAGGAAGGAAGGAAAGAAGGAAGGAAGGAAGGAAGGAAGGAAGGAAGGAAGGAAGGAAATTGTCCACAGAAGTGATTTGCAAATTCAGTGCAATCCTCATCAAAATACCAGTGACACCTTCAAAGAAACAGAGAAAACAATCCTAAACTTCACATGGAAGCACAAAAGACCCTGAATAGCCAAAGCAATATCGAGCAACAAGAACAATCACAAGTGTGATGAAAACTCTGGTGTGAAGAGGGATGATATGGACCGTTTTATTCCAATTAATGCAATAATGTAGAAGGTTGCAAATTTCTAGAAAATGTGACTTGCCAAAACTGATGTAAGAAGAAAGAACAAATCCAAATCATTCCATACCCAGTGAAATAAATATATCAGGAGTCAAAACGTTTGGGGTTGTGGTTGGTGTGTTGCCTTTGTCAGTGCTGGGGTTTGATCCCAGGGCCTCATGTGTGCTAGGCAAGTGGCCTATCCATAGCTGCACCCAAACCCCAGAATGCTTTTAACAACAACAAAAAAGCCACACCTACCCACTCAATTCTAAAAATATCCCAGGAAAAAATATCTACACTTTGACACAAATTCCTCTAGGAAGTTGAAAAGGGGGGACATTCCCCACCTCATCAGATGAGGTAAGAATAAAACATCCATAATGAATCCTGACACAAAGGGTCAGAGGCAGGAAAACTCCAGTCAATGACATACACAGTCATTACACAGAAAGGAAAAAAAAAAAACAGAAAAAGAATGTTAGCAAATGGAATCCTAAAACTACAGGACATAAACAGGAAAATAGAGAAAAATATGGCATGATTAAATTGCATCCATCCAAGAAAATTTTTATTTACTTCAGAATATAATGTGATATAATTCAGCACATTATCACATTAAAGGAGAGAACATGATCCTCATATTTTAAGGAGTTACTAAATTTCAATATCCATTTGAGAAGCAACATTTACAGTGTTTCTACAAAGTCAGGAGTATGAGATATAATTGACTACAGGTCTATGCTTTCTTTGAATGCATACCATTATGGAAGCACCATGGCAATCTCAACAGCATTTGCATCACCCCCACGTTCCTTCATGCCACGTGGTAGTACACAGCCTCACTCAATCCCCATGCTCAGACTACTGCTGATCCATTTTTTCCTGCCTTTTCCGAGTCTCATAAATGGGATCATACAGGATGGAGCCTTCTGCATTTGGCTCCCTTCCCAGAAAGGGACTCAAATGGGACTTCTGAAGTTCAATGTACAGTCTCTACAGCACAGTAGCGGTTACCTGGCTTCATCTCTTTATAGTTCCTGGGCAAATCGCAGGCTTGTGTTTCCTGAACTTACATATAACTTGATCTAATTTAATTTTTGTATCTTGGTGAGGGTTCTTCTTGAAGAGCAATGTTTCATCCTTTCAGCAAAAATAAGTGATTCTTGGAATCACCAGGGGAGCTGTAAAGGTTAGGTGATCCAGGAGGTCTAGGGAGGGGTATGTACTGGAGGTGGGGCACCCAGGAGGGTCCCAAGGCAGCCAAAGCTGTGATTCTTACTCTGAGTGGTGGTTACCAGGCATTTCCCCACTGCACAACTGCTGGGGTGCGGTTCCTACTGTCGTCAAGCAAACAGCGTGCCCTGGATTCCCTCGGGAATGGTCCGCATGACCACCCTGGAGGCCACAACATGCACAGCCAAATGTGGCAGACACTGGCGCAGCCGTCATCCTAACAGCAAGCGGATGGTGAGGAACTGTGGATGAGGAAAGGAGTTCTCAGAGATTGAGGACAGACAGGCACGAAGTTGCCCAAGTTCATCCACGACTGGAATCCGTGGCTGTGACTCACCATGACAACTCTTGATGCTGTGGATGTCACCTCGCTCCACAGGATGCAGCCTGCTAGGCCTCCACACACCTGGGAACGTCCACCATGTTTTCCCCTCATTGGCTGGCTGACACCCCTTCCACAAGAACTAGAGTCTGACAGGGAGACCATCTTTCTGCCCTCAGGGTGAAAGCTCTTGTTTGGAAATGAACAAGCAGGAGCCTGGGCACCTGATCCACATGCAGTTTGTCTCAGGGCTCCAAGGTGCAGCTGCATCAAGCACAGGCACATGACTCAGCCAACCTCCTGAGCCCACACTGAGAGGAGCAGCACAAAGAGGCAGGACTGGGACAACGGCTCTCCAGGCCAGCACCCAGTCTTCCTGGCTGGAAGGGGAGGCTTGAGGGAAAGGGCAGGGTGGGGACAGTATGCTGAATGAGGGAAGGGATGTGACTTCCTTTCCATTCGGGCCCGATGGAATTTTCTAATACAAACCTCAGAATCTGCCACTTATTATAGAAGGTTTAGCCCTGACAACTGCCAGTGTGGTGGTGTACTCAGTCCAGCAACATTATGGTATTGCAGCTGGTGTGAATACAGAACAAGAGAGAACCTGAACTCGGAAGGAAGAAGTGGGACTGGTGAAGCTGGTCACCAAGGGTCAAGCTAGTGCCCTGGCAAGGCTTGGTCAATATGCAGCTCCCCTCGTGAAGATGGTCCTTCGCCTCCAAGGACAGTGCCCGGAGCCGGAATTCACCCTGGTCGGAATCGGCCTAGATGTCTCAGGTGGCAGAAACCCCCAGTTGCAGTCTCTGCCCAGCTTCTTAAGGCAGACATCAGCTTTCTGTGTAACCTCTTCATGAAACAAGCAACTTAGGTCAGGGTAATCTTAGCCACAGCCTGAGGAACCCAGCTCCCTTGCTCAGGTGGAGGTTTGAAGTGGATGATGTTAAGTCCCCACTGCCCATCCTTTCTGGCTCTCAGGACTGACTGCCCGACCACTTGTGTGACAATCCGCCTCCCTGAGCCCATCCCAAGGAGCCCAGAAGGGACACAGAATGAGAATACAGGAAGGGTGGTCCCAAGCCTGACCTGCTCTCCACAGGCAATTCCTCTCTCCTATGCCATCCTTGCTGTGCCAATCACACCCAGGTGTTGGTTAGCTCAGGGTGTGGCTGTCTCCCATGGGAGCATCGTGCTTCAAAGATGAGGTGGGAACCAGCCACCTCATAGGTAGCCAGCCTGCACATCATTCTGCTGGCAACATAAGACATTTGAGACACGTTATCCGTCCCAGACGAGGATCAAGAGCCTGTGCCAGAGACTCCCAACATTGTGACAACACTGACCCGCTGCTGGGTTTGGTGACTTACACTTCATCCCATCCCATGCCCTCCTACATTTTAGGTCTTGAACAACACCCCTCCTAAAAGGTAGATGCCAACCTTGCTCTGGTGTATTTGGTTCCCTATGGATTACAGGCTCTGCCCCTACTGCCTCTATTCACAGAGTCAGATCATCCTCTGTCCAGGGAGATCATCTCTGGTTCATTTGATTCACAAGCCCACACAGACACTCTGACAGGCACACGCACATGTGGAAGCATGCGTGCGCGCGCGCACGCGCGCACACACACACACACACACACACCCCTTGAATGCTTTATCTTCATTTGTCAGTGCTGTCTGTTAAATACCCAGCCTCTTGGGAATGGGAACTGTCTCACCCTACTCAAACATGGATCTGTCCCCGAGTCTCAGGCACACCCAGCCTGGACCCTGGGTAAAGCAAGGAACAGTTCATCAATGAGGGCAACATAAGAACATGGAGCTCAGACAAAAATTGCATGCGATCGCAGGAGGCAGTCTGGGAGATGGAGCTGGGACAAGCAAATATCACATCCAGGAAAATCTGTGCCATGGGGGTGATCAAACAGTATCTTGCTGGGGACCATCCGTGCACATGCAGACCTACCACCCACATCTGCCCCTTTCAAATGAGAGCTATGGAGCTGACAACCTGAAGAAGGGCTGGCTGGACGGCAGCTAGGACTTGACATTCTGATTCCTGACCATCTAATTCCAGCTGCTGGTGGGCAGTTTTGCTCAAGAAAGCAGAGAGGAGCCAGAGAAGACTCACTTGCCCACCTCTAACCCAGAGACAACCCACATTCTCTATACCCCTCTTTCCTCCTGCATTCCCCGTACTTTTACTTTGCTCTGCCACCTGATGAGATGTGACCTCTGCCTCCATGCCCCTACTGAAAGGAAGAAGGGAGAAGCGATAGGATCTGGCAATTGAGCTTCAAAGGTGAAGGCTAACTAAGCAGGAACTAAGGATGATGGGGGATTTCTAGCTGAGCCTTCCCTCTGTGGTGAGCCACCAGAAGATACTGAGTCCAGAAAGAGGACTGGGCCTGAGAGGGGGAAAAAATGAGCTCCACTGTGCTCTCCCAAAGCCTGTTGAAATAACTCTCTAGAAAGAGGTCTCCAGGGGTGAGCCATGGGAGACATCAAGGATGGTCAGGATAGAAAAGAAGGGTGAGAAACAAAGGAATAAAACCTGGAAGCAAAACAAAGGAATAAAGACAGGAGGGACTGGAGCTCTGGAAGGGGCTTATTAGTTCCTCCTGAAAGGTGTGTGTGTGTGTGTGTGTGGGGATATTAGGCAACAATTTGTCCTATGAGAACTCCAGAGAGAAGCCTGTTAGCAGAGACCTCCAGAGAGAAGCCTTGTTAGCAGAGAGCACCACCAGAGAGGGCCAGAGGGGAAAAGGAGAAAATTCTAGTGTGTCTGGGTCCAGTCCACACAGAATCCAGTCCCAGGGCACCATGGTAAGCCTGAGCACCTGGCTCTTGCTCAAAGGCCTGCCCAGACTCCCCTCAGGGAGAGGCCTACCGCAAAATGCCAGGGGTACTGTTCTTAACCAGCTCCCCACCCTTCTCCTGGCCCCTGCAGGCCCTCACCCCCTCAGAGAGTGGGCAGACCACAGAACAGGAGAGGTACTTTAATTCGAAAATGCTGTGAGCTGGAGTGGGCAGGAAGGGGGAGCTGGCTGTAGAAGAACCAAAGGGAAACAGCTTGGCCGCTGCTCGTGGGCTCCACCGGCACCAGCTGCTCGCCTTGTACAATGATGCTGGGTTCAATCTGTTAAGCAGAGCAGAGTCATGGCTTCCCCTTGGCCAGAGCTGGCATGCAGCCCTCCCAGACAGCTGGGATTGTGGGAAGGGGTATGGTAAGCATAACACTCACTTCCAAGGTCCTGGAACTTGTCAGCGAGGGAATGCATGACCGCTGAAAGAGAGAGGCATAACTGAACACTTGGACATAGGTCCATAGAGGGTCTTGGCCCTATATGGCCCCCTGGCCCCCCTCCCCCCATGCTCCGTGGGGAACCTCCAGCCCCTGTCCAAACAGCCCTAGGACTGACTCCCCTACCACCACTGGAGCTCGACACATAAATGTCTTCTATAAGGAAACAACATGTACCAGTAGTGCTCAAACACTGGGGCATGGGAGAACCACGCAGAAACTTGTTAAGAACAAGCAATCAAGCAAACATAGGGCAAGAAGCACCAAACAAACCACACCAATCAGTGCTTAAGGGAAAAATAAAGGAGGGGGTCTCTGGGACTCAATGGCAAGGTCAGACAACATACTGCTTTTCGTGCACAGCCCTAGCAGTCAAGGCACAGAAGGCACCAGGGCCAGGCCAGCTTGGTTTCCCCACCCCACAGGAACATCCCGCCCCACCGTGATGCCTGTACCTGCAGCCCAGCCCAGCCCCAGGAACTTGCATGGAGACACTGAGGTCTGCCTCTGCCCCAGTCCCTGTACCAGCCTGGGCTTTGTCATACCTAGTTGCTCCTTGAGATCATCGATTTCTTTCTGTAGTAGCACACACTGACCCAGCCAACACCAGAGAAAAGAGAAATGAGGAGTAATATCCTGGCCTCCTGTCTCCTCACCCTCCCACTCTCCTGCTCCCCACTCCTCATGTCCCACATATCCCACAGCCCAGTGGCAACAGAGAGAGGTAGGGCATCCTCAGTGGAAAGGAGGAACCCTCTCTCCCTAGGGTGTGGAATTAGAGGGGGACACCCAAGTCAACTTAACCTGGACATGGAGCCCACCAGCTAGTTGGGGCCGGCATTTTTGGAGCCAAGGGAAAGACTTACCCGGGGACAGCCCTGTACTCCAGGTGGTTGCTGCTGCCTTTCCAGAACTGGGGTCTGCACAGGTGGATCCTGCTCACCTGAAAAGAGCACAAACTCCAGCTCCCCAGCCTGAGTGTGAAGTGGAAAGGGCCTGGCTGGATCTAAAGTGAGGCAGCAGCCCCCTCTGAAGGCAGCAAGTTGCACCTGTTCTGCCCAGCAGCTCCACCTCTCTCTGGGCCTGCTTTCCCTGCTGCCCAGTGTCAGCCCCAGCTGCCACTGTGACACCCTAGCACTGTGGCTCTGGGTTGGACACTGGCAGAGCTGTAGTCGCAGCCAGACTCTGGGAGGAGCCATGTAGCTGAACAGGACACAAAAGAAAAGGCTGTGTTCCTCTGAAAGTCTCCTTCTGGAGTCTGTGTTTGGGGCAGTGCTACAGATCACCCCTAGCACATAAACCCAATGCAGGGGACCAAGTAGCCTGAGTCCAGTCCTGCCCACATCCAGCTTTCCTTGGGGGCGTTGCCTGTATAGGCATGGAAGCCTGGGAGCAAGACTGCACCCCCAGAAGCGGCAGAGCCAGAAGTTTCCCTCCCCTGACCCTCTCCCCTCCACTGCTATCAAACCCACAGGACTCACCAGAGGGTGCAAGGCCTCCCTGGCTCAAGTCCAAGGGCTGGGAGCTTCCTGGAGGTTGGAGGACTCTGGGGTTGGGGTCACCACTGATAAATTCTCCACGATGCATGCACAAGCAAGGTGTCCCCGGCCTGTGTACTGGAAGCTAACACAGAAATTTCTGTTGAGTATGATCCTGTGTGCACAGGGGCTGGAGTGAGGCAGGGTACAAAGGAGGACTTCCAAGGCTCATCTCATTAGCAATGTCTATCTCAATCAGCCCCAGGCTCAGAAGTAGAGCTCAGTCAGGGAGAAGCAAGGGGGACAGTGGCGGGGGTGGGGGTGCTGCGGCAGAGAAATCCCACGCCCCCAGCAAGGCAGGCTTGAGTAAGAGCTGGGAGGGAGGAATCAGTAGACAGATGGGACTAAACACCCACGATGTGCAGCTCAAACTGTAAGGGGTCACCAGACCAGTCAGTGGCCAGTCCTACTTTCCATCCCATCCCAGCCCCTGTCTGGGAAGGAGGCAGGAAGTGCACAAAATGTGGCCAACACTGACTGGTACCTACCAGGTACTTTCTCAATGTCTGCCCTGACTACCAAGACCCCCGATTTGGCATCCCAATGACAGTGGGTTCCCAAAGACAACCCCTGAGCAAGGGCAAAGAAGTGTGTCCTGGTAAAGGAGCAGAGCAGAGTGACAGGAGGAGAAGGAGAAGGAGGCAGGCTTACTCACTTGGACCTGTGGGACTATATCTCTACTTGGGTCATTATCTTCACTGGTCACAGGCTGGGACTCCCGTGTCTTCTTGGCCACAGATCTCTTCCCAGTGGCTCCATGCTTGGACTGTTTGGGTCCCAAGGGCAGCAAGGAATGCCTCTTGGACCTTCCAAGCAGTGGAACCCCAGAGATTGGGGGGAAGGTGGCTGGTTCCAGGGGCGTTACCTTAAGTCTTTGCCCCCATGAAGGGAAGGCCCTGCCCAGGGTCACTCTTGAACCACCTCCTAGGGACTTCTTCTCCTGGATGGCCTTCTTCCTAGGAGTGGCCCTGGGAAGGTCCCCTGTAGCAGCAGCAGCGGAGGCAGAGGTGGCAGTGGCAGTGGCAGTGACAGCAGCAGCAGCAGCAGCAGCAGCAGCGGCGGCGGCGGTGGTGGCAGCTCCTGGGTTGCTGGACCTACTCCCTCCCTTGCCCCAGAGCATGCTTTGCGTTTTCTTGGAGGAGCCAGCTTCCAGCTCTGCTGAAGCCTGCTTGTCCATGCCCGAGGGGAGTCCTCGAGGAGCCGGGGTCGGCAGAGGGCCCGGCATGTGAAGGAAATTCTCCCTGCCACGAACACTCGAGCGTCTGGCTGGGTCTCCGGGTTCCCTGGGGCTGCAGGACCTGGCCTGGCCTCCTCCTTTGGGGCAGATGCTCACCCTCATCAGCTGTATCTCGCTGAGCTCATCTGAAGACTCAGGGTCGGAAGAGGGCTGCTGGGCTTCCCCGCTGCCCACCATCCGACTTTTGGTGCCTCTCTTGGGCTTCCCCCAGGCCCGGCTCCCCTCGGGCCCACTGGGGTGGCTCAGCGGGGCGGCAGAGGCCTGTGGCGCTTCCACACAGCTCGGGGCCAGCGCAGCTCTCCCACCGGGGCCTGCCTCTGCGTCCACCCAAACGCCTGACAGTTCGGTGGCGAAGCTTTCCGGGGATGGGTATCTGTGGGCTCCCCGGGGCTCCGGGCCCATAGGCTGCTGCACAACGGCCTCAGACTCCACAGCCACGGGCACGAAGTCTAGAGCGTCCCCCTTCTCATCAGCTGGGGAGCCAGGCCTGCCTGCGCGGCCCGGAAGCACCGCCCTTCCCTCCTCTATCTCCTCCCATGGGGCCTCCAAGTTGAACTCATAGGCCTCGGAGTCTAGGAGGCCGCCCTCGCCCTCCCCGCTCCGTGGCGGCCTCAACTCGAGGCCCCGGCCCAGGCCTCGTAGGGCTCTGTGGCCTGCAGGACGGACGCCTCCCGGTTTCCCACCGTTCTGGCTCAAACCGTCTCCCTGAAGGGAAGTCTCGTCAGCGGAGCTCATGTTGCCAATCCCGGCAGCCAAGCTCGCTCGAGGGGAGATGATAGACCGGTTAACTGCGGGAGCAGTTAGGCCTCGGGGAATAAAGTCACCACAAGCCAGGCACAGATCACCTCAATCACCACCCGGCTTCGGCTTCTAGCAGCTTCGCGAGTCTTCGATGCCCCCCTCGCGGCCTTCTCATTGGTCCACCTCCCTGCCAACCAGTGCGCAGTTTGTTGGGGCCTCCCTCCGTGCACTCGCCAATACGGATGAGGGCGCTAGCACTGGGGGAAGGCTCTGATGCTACTGGCTGGCTTGCTTGCTTGGTTGCTTTCCTTCTTTCTTTCTTTTTCTTTTTTCTTTCTTTCTTTCTTTTTTTTTTTTTAACTGGGGATTGAATATCCAGGGACACTTTACCACTGAGCTGAATCCCCAGCATTTCTTTTTTTCTTTTTTGTTGAGACAAAGTTTTGCTAAACTGCATAGGGCCTCACTAAGCTGCTGAGGCTGTTCTTAAACACCCAATCCTCCTGCTTCAAACTCCTGAGTGGCTGGGATTACAGACTTGCCCCACTGTGCCCAGCTTGTACTGGCTCTTGACAAGCCAGTCCAATTGTGGGTGTGCACTTCACTGATTTCTTGTCCTGCTACGTCTGGAATATAATTAATATAGTCATCATGGAAAACATTATGCAAGTTCCTCAAGAACTCACAAACAGAACTACCACATGATTACCACTACTAGGTATACCTTAAAAGGAAACAAAATCAATATGTCAAAGACAAACCTGCACACCTGTGTTCGTTATAGCACTCTTCACAATAGTCAAGACATGGGGTCAAGTTACATGTCCATTGGTGGATGAATGGATATAGAAAATGTGAATATATATGCACACAATAGAATACCACTCAGCCTTGAAAAAGAAGGAAACCCTGTCATTTGTGACTACCTGTACGAACCTGGAGGACATTATCATAACTTCAAAAAGCCAGGCACAGGAAGACTAATATTCATGATCTCATTTGTATGTGGAAGTTTAGTAGTCAAAATCATGAGAGCAGAGGGCAGAATTGTGGTATCAGGGGCTGGCATAGGAGGGAGGATTCAGAGATGTTGGTCAAAGTATAAAAAACTGTCATTGGCTGGGGATATAGATCAGTGGTAGAGTGCTTGCCTGGGATGCACAAAGCCCTGATTTACATACTCGGCAACATCCAAACAAAAAAGAAGAAAGAAAAAGAAAACCATACATGAATATACCACAGCAAATTCCACATTTATGTATATTTATAAAGCAAAAAAACTGGGGGGAGGGTGGGTTCTGGGGATTGAACTCAGGGGCATATGACCACTGAGCCACATCCCCAGGTCTGTTTCGTATTTCATTTAGAGACAGCAACTGACTGAACTTAAAGCACAATTTTTTAAAAAGAAATACATAGGAGGAAGACCAGTAGAGTAGAGGAAGTAGAACCGGGGGTGGGGTTGAGTGGAGGGGAGACGTGAGGAGGGTGGGGAAAGAGGGAGCACTGGGAACAGAAATGGATCAAATTTTCTTCCATGCATGTATGGTTATGTCCAAATGAACCTCACTATTGTGTATAACCAGGGTGCATTAATGAAAACATTTTTTTTTTAATTTTTTATTTTTTTATTGGTTGTTCACAACATTACAAAGCTCTTGACATATCATATTTCATACATTAGATTGAAGTGGGTTATGAACTCCCAA